CCAGGAGGGGTGGTTGGTACCCCCCAAGGGTTGTGTCACCATTCAGAGAGCTGACAGGCTGGAGAGCTGGACCAACAGGAATCACACGAAGATTGCCAAAGGGAAGTATAAAATCCTGCTCCTGGGGAGGAATAACCCAATGCACCAGGCAACACTAGAGGGGCCGACCAGCTGGGAAGCCATGCAGCAAAGGCCATGAGGGTCCCAGTGGAGAAAAGGTCGAGCGTGGGCCACCAACATGCCCTTGTGCCAAAGGCAGCCACCAGCCTGCTGGGCTGCTTTAGGAAGAACATAGCCAGCAGGTCACAGGATGCGATCCTTCCCTCCACTCAGCCCTGGTGAGGCCACACCTGGAGCGCTGGATCCAGTCCGGGGCTCCCCAGTACAAGAGAGACATGGACATACTGCAGCAGTCAGTGAAGCACCATGAAGATGGTGAAGGGATTGGAACATCTGCAATAAGAGGAGAGGCCAAGAGAACTGGAATTGTTCAGCCTGGAGTAGGTTCCAGGAGGATCTTACCAATGTGTATGGATACCTGACGGGAGGGATTTTAGAAGCAGATGGAGGCAGGCTCTTCTCAGTGATGTCCAGTGACAGGAGACAAATTGAAATACAGGAAATTCCACTTAAACATAAGAGAGAACCTGTTATGCTGTGATTGCACACTGGAGCAGGTGGCCCCCGAGAGGCTGTGGAGTTTCTATCCTTGGCGATATTAAAAACTCAACTGGACACGGTCCAGGGCATCCTGCTCTAGTAGACCCTATTTTGGGCAGGGGGGCTGGACCAGACCACCTTCAGAGATACCTTCTAACCTGAACTCCTCTGTCATGCTGTGAACCATACAGTGGTGAAAGCCACTTTCCTCGGGCGGTGCACAAGGCTGGTACCTCGCCTGCACAAATGAATGGGCTGTTGGCAGAGGAGTCGTCTTACCCAAGAGGCAGCAGATAGTAAGAACAACACAAAAATGTGAAACTGAGCTGTTAGAGGCCAACTGTGCGCGGGCAAAGCCGTGACTGGTGCTGTGTCCTAGTGTATGTTGTTATTGAGAAGGTAAATGGCCAGCCCATCCTCCTACATGCAGATGCCACAGAACTAGTCAGGGTTTTGCCCATTATACCCTAAGAAGAACACCAGCCAAACTATCAAAGATCAGATCAGAGGTTTCTCTCTTCTTCTGCCTGTCCTGCACCT